GGAGCATTGTCGTGATGGAGGCGCCAATTTCTTGTTGACCACAACTCCGGTCTCTTGCACCGCACAGCATCACGTAGGCGACGGAGGACATCCCTGTAGTACTCTTTGGTGATTGTTTGACCCTGTGGTGCGTACTCGTGGTGTACCACACTGCGGGAGTCAAAGAAAACAGTCAGCATCACTTTGACGTTGCTGCGCACTTGTCAGGCCTTCTTTGGTCTTGGTGACGTGGAATGCTTCCACTATGACGACTGGGATTTGGTTTCCGGGTCGTACCCGTACACCCAAGACTCGTCACCAGTGATTATTGTGTTCATGAATTCGGAGTCACTGTTTGTGGAGTCCAGCATGTCCTGTGAGACTTCAACACGAAGTTCCTTTTGCTCCGCCGTAAGCAGCTTCGGCACGAAATTTATTTCCTAATTTTTTATGGTAGTTCCAAGATCGATCAAATCTACCAAACCCATACACAGATCAATTACTGAAAATAACAGACAAAATATAAAGTTTTTTCCTTAAGAAACGTTTGATAACTATCTGGACATTATACAGATTTTGCATGTGAAATTTGAAAACTTTCTGATGCATAAAAGTATTTTTAATCTTAATATGAATATTACTTTGTATGACAGATAGGCAACGTGTGAAAAGAAAAAAAGACAACATTGTTTTACAAACCTTAAGATTTAGTAACAAAATTTGATATTTTGTGTATGAAAGCATTGTAATGTTTACTGATAATCTGCCAAATTTCATTAACATTTGCTTACTAATTAAAAAGTTATAGCATGAAAACTAAAACAAGCACAAAATGGTTATGAAGTCGGTCACAGGGACCGAGCCTGTACTGAAAGAGTTAAATATAAATCAACTACCCCAACAACGAAACTCACCAGAACCATCCAAAACCAAATCACCTTCTCAGAATAAGATACACGAGGGATAGCAAAAAGTTGAGAAGTGAAACAATTCCCCCTAACCTCAACTGTGACCCACAACACAGAAGGAGTATAATCGAGGGAGGAATTTAGACAAGCATAAAAATGTGTTAGGACTTATTTTGACTGGTTCTACTCCAAATCCAAAACCAAGCCACATGGTACAGCCATCCATGCGTGGGTAGGATGAGGGCTCCAACAGTAGGGGTGAACTGCAATTTGACATCTCACTCTTTATTGCTTGTAGAACACCACCACCCTACTCTGCACTGAATGGTTATAACTATCTTTGTGTAGAACCCATTCAGGAGGGTGCCTCCATGGTCGACCACTCCAGCAGCTTGGAACTGGAAAGTGGTAAGGCCTCCCATACTCCACTAGAACAAAGGGGGTGGGAACAATTTGGAGAGTCCAGAGGAACATCATCACCTGAGAAAGTGCAATGGGTGATCATGTAACACTATTTTGAAAAGCAGCCAATACCGATTTATTCAATACAAGACATGGCAGAAATGGGCAGCTATCCCCATGCAGTCCATGGGTGATATGGTCCAGAATGGGAAAATTTATGAAGCAATTACATTGCGAGGTTATTCATCTACACGATGATATAGGAGAGCAAATTAATCCAAAGCCCATGGGGGGGGGGGCAAGACATGCCAATCTCCTTACTTAATTGTGAAGCAAATTGGTCAGTGTGTACCCAAATATCAGGGGAAGGAGAAAATCAAATAGGGATGTGAATATTGGTCGTGTACTATGGAAGGACTCGGTTCATATACGGGGCATGGGATAAAACATCACACACTTGAGAGATTAAATCCAAAAGGACCATATTAGGTCTAACTGACTTCTCAGGAGAGGCACGGGAAGGCACGGCATAATCAGGAGGTGGAAATAGGTGATCCATGTCCTCGTCAGCCTGAATAAGCTCAGCATGTTCAGGAGGAAGTGGGGCAAGGATCGAAGATACAGGTTGACCCATGTAACGTTTAATCTCCTTGCAAATAAATGCAGACAAATCTCCCGCCCGGTCACCCACACCTGAAGCCCGTGACATAGTGCTAATTGCAGGTGTGACCCCTCAAAGTGGTAACATGAACTTTGGAATTCGTAATCAAGAAGAGTCAACCAAAATCGAAATTATTAATAATAATGCAACTGTAATAAACTAGGATTAAATTTAAAGTGAAGTAATAGTCTTAATAAACTTTGAAGTAAGTTAAATGAAAACCACTTTGCGAGTATACTAAAGTCGAATGTGAAACTTGAAACAAACAAAGGAACACATCCAAGCACAGGTACTGTAAAATGAGAAGTGAGAGTAACATACGTCACATATGGCATGCTCCTAATGGTGGTGAAGTGATGCATGATGATTTGCATACGAGACATGTTGAAATCATTTGATTCCAATAGGGGGAGCAGAAGACTTGTGGCATGCGTAAAGAAATATTTTTGCATATAGAGGGCAGTACTGGATGAGAATAACAAATCATCTGAGGGAAGGGAAGTACTGTATCAGAAGTCTTCTAATTTTCAAAGAATGCATTT